CACTTTTCCGGTATCACTTTCACTCATGATTTCTCAAAAAGCTACTGGAAGGGGGTGGAGGTAAGATAGCCAACTAGAGCTAGCTTTCTACAGAGGCTTCCTTCCAGAAGGACAGTTAAAGGACAGAAGTTACCAAGCAAGTTGACAGTTTGGAGCTGGGCCAAGAGAGAAGGTTCAAGAAGGCACATTAATCCTGCTGAGGTGAGCTGCGACCCCAAGGAAACAAACAATAGGTACAAAATTCATCGCCTAGTGGACAGGAGTCCCCTCACCAATGAGAAGGCTCACAGTATAACTTCTACATACAAACAAGTGAGCAGAGTTCAGATCCCCTCCTTTTATCCCACAGGAGAGACCCTCTAAAAACCGGAACTCCTTCCCCAGAGAGGACCTACCAGCGTGCGATGGCACTTTCCTGCCAGGCATAAAACTGTATATATTTTCTACCTGCAATTCTGAATTCCCAGCACTCCCCTCCACTCTCACTCACCCCAAGGTCTGAAAGCCTGTCCCCCACAGAGTCCAGATTCTTGAGCATTTTCTCAAGAGGTGTGGACAAAACTGAATACACATTCTCCTCATCAGCCCACGGAACATACTCCAAAACTGATCATGTCTTACGTCACAAGTCTCACCTCAGCAAATTTAAAAGAACAGAAATTATTCCTTGCATCCTCGCGCACCATCATGGAATAAAAGTTGAACTCAGTAACAACAGGAATCTGCATACTCATACAAAAACATGGAAGCTAAATAACCTTATGCTGAATGATAGCTGGGTCAGAGACAAGATTAAGAAGGAAATTACCAAACTTTTGAAACAGAACGATGATGAAGACACAAATTATCAGAACCTCTGCGATACCGCAAAGGCAATCCTAAGAGGGACATTTACAGCGCTGCAAGAGAATGGAAAGAGAGGAACTTAACAACTTAATGGGACATCTCAAGCAACTGGAAAAGGAAGAACATTCCAATCTCAAATCCAGCAAAAGAAAATAAATAACCAAAATTAGAGCAGAATTAAATGAAATTGAAAACAAAAGGATTATACAACAGATCAATAAATCAAAAAGTTGGTTTTCTTAAAAGGTCAATAAAATAGATAAACTTTTGGCTAACCTAACCAGGATAAAAAGAGTAAAATCTCTAATTTCATCAATCAGTAATGGTAAAGATGAAATAACAGCAGACCCCTCAGAAATTAAAAAAATCCTTAATGAATATTACAAGAAACATCATTCTCAGAAATATGAAAATCTAAAGGAAATTTACCAATAATACTTGGAAGCACGCCACCTTCCAAGACTTAGCCAGAATGAAGTGGAAATGTTGAACAGGCCTATATCAAGTTCTGAAATAGCATCAACTATACAAAATCTCCCTAAAAAGAAAAGCCCAGGACCAGATGGCTTCACGTCAGAATTCTATCAAACCTTTAAAGAGGAACTAGTACCTATACTACTTAACCTTTTCCAAAATATAGAAAAAGAAGGAATACTATTCAACACGTTCTATGAAGCAAACATCACCTTGATCCCTAAATTAAGAAAAGACCCAACAAGAAAAGAAAATTACAGACCAATATCACTAATGAATATTGATTCTAAAATATTCAACAAGATCCTAACAAACAGAATCCAGCAACACATAAAACAAATTATACACCACGACCAAGTGAGTTTTATCTCAGGATCTTAAGGCTGGTCCAACATATGTAAATCTATAAACATAATTCATCACAAAAACAAAGACCATATGATTCTCTCAATTGATGCAGAAAAAGCTTTGATAATATCCAGCATCCTTTTATGATCACTTAAGAAAACTGGTATAGAAGGGACATTTCTTAAACTGATAGAGGCCATCTACAGCAAACCCAAAGACAACATCGTATTAAATGGAGTTAAATTGAAATCATTTCCACTTAGATCAGGAACCAGGCAAGGTTGCCCATTGTCTCCACTGCTTTTCAACATTGTAATGGAAGTCTTAGCCACTGCAATTATGCAGGAAAAGGTGATCAAGGGTATCCACATAGGGTAAGAAGAGATCAAACTTTCAGTCTTAGCAGAGAATACAACTGTATACCTAGAAAACACTGGGGATTCTACTACAGTACTCTTAGAAGTGATCAAGGAATACAGCAGCCTCTCATGTTACAAAATCAACATTCATAAATCTGTAGCCTTTATATATACCAACAATAATCATGCTGAAAAAACAGTCAAGGACTCTATTCCATTCATAGTAGTACTAAAGAAGATGAAATATTTGGGAGTTTACCTAACAAAGGACATGAAGGATCTCTATAAAGAAAACTATGAAACTCTGAGAAAAGAAATAGCTGAAGATGTTAACAAATGGAAAATCATAGCATGCTCATGGCTGGGAAGAATCAACGTTGTTAAAATGTCCATATTACCCAAAGCAATATACAAATTTAATGCAATCCCTATTAAAGCCCCACTGTCATACTTTAAAGATCTCAAAAAAATAATACTTCATTTTATATGGAACCAGAAAAAAACCCAAATAGCCAAGACATTACTCAGAAATAAAAACAAAGCAGGAGGAGTCACACTACCAGAACTCAGACTATACTATAATCAATAATGATCAAAACAGCACAGTACTGGCACAAGAACAGAGAGGTAGACGTATG